GCTCTGTTTTCATGGTCACAGGTTGAGTCCAAGCCTTGTGTTTGCCCTGCCTGTTATGGTAAGCTAGCAGCTGGGTGCTCTTCATCAGAACCCATGGTTGGAGAACCACCATCATCTTCTGCCATTATGGGGAGCTGGAGCCCAGCCTTTCAGTTGATCAGGACTGATTGATTGATTGCTTTCAATACAGGGCCATAATGGGTCTCCACGGAGCTTTGCAGGAAGGGAGAACATGTAATTTACTACTTAACTCCTTGGACACTGATGATCTGCTTTTCAAATCTATCTAGTGTTCTGTCTAGCATTCGTGACAGTTCTAGGCCCTTCTCGGTCTGACCCATTCTCTGTTGGAGTCAAGTCCTCGGATGTTTCTATTTGGATGGTTGAAATTCTGACGCTGAATCTTATCATCCTCTAGAACAGCAATTCTCCACATTAGCTACACATTAGAAACAACTAGAGAATTTACACAAACACACACACACACATAAAAGCCAAACAGTGTCTTGTCTTAACTTGTCCAACTCAGACTAAATAGCAATTAATTCTTTCAGGGTGAGGCTTTGGCTTCTACATTTTTCAAAGTTCTCTAAGTGATTCTGATCTACAATAAGAACTGCTGTTGCCAGAAAAATAGGGCTATGTGAAAAGAATCCTCACCTAAATGAAGGAAGAAAGTGTTGAGATTTCCAGGAAGATGGAGCACAAAACAAGTACAGAAAGCTTCTGTCTTGTTCACATACACATGCTTGGTAAAATATAACCAAATGGAAAAAGAAACAGAAAAATCTCCACAAGCCAAAGGAAACTAAAAGCCAAATTGAGGCCTATCACTCAATTTGAGAGTAGATAGTCATCATACTTTGTGGATCAAGTGTCAGGAGGTGGTGGCCCTCAAGATGGCTATAGTGTGTTGGAGGATGACTGTCCTAGAGGCAGAGTTCTCATTTCTGGCATCAGAATCACTGGATTGTGATGGAAGGTAAATGGGAAGCCCTTCTTGTATTTCCTGGGTGTTGATGAATCTTGAGATCTAAAGGATACCCTAGGAAGAGGGGTGCTCACCCAGTAATTGCTAAGACTGGTTTGCTCCTGCAGGATGTGGTCTTGAGTCACATCTTGAGCCTGATCTAAAGGAAATGAAGTAGTGGCATTTCCCACACTTAGGCTGGTATCTACAAATCTATACGTACCTGCTATAGAAGGAGAGGTTGTAGTTGTTGGTAGGCAGGTTGTTATAGCATCTGTGTGACTTTAGGGCTTTGCCTGGTGGCTCAGCAGTAAAGAATCAGCTTGCAATGTGGGAGATGCAGGTTTGATACAAAGATTTGATCCCTGGGTTGGAAAGATCCCCCAGAGAAGGAAATGGCAACCCACTCCAGTATTCTTGCATGGAAAATCCCAAGGAAAGAGAAGCCTAGCAGGCTATAGTCCATGAGTCACGGAAGAGTCAAACACAGCTGAGTTAGTAAACAACAATACAATATGATGTGTGTATACAAATGCAACCTATATATTAATACTAAAAGTGATTAAATATCATGATCTATCTAATGAAAAATAGATGTCCTATAGATGAATATGTGATGCCATGTGAGAAGAGATTGAAGTAGTTAATTGGTTTTTAAAATGCTATTATCAATGCCAGGCTGTTTGCTAATGAGGATAAGGGACATGGCAGATTTTTGTATGTACATGAAGTGATTGATTCCAAAGACTGAGGATTTATTCTAAGTGTTGTACAAGTGTCGTTGTTACTACATGTAGGAGGCAGAATCTGGCAGAGCCCAGGCCTCTAATGCCAGGAATGCAGCTTTCAGTGACCAGAGCTCCCTGGGTCTTCCCTACCCCACCTCCATGTCACCTGAACAGAGGCCAGGCAGGTCTTGGGATTAGCACATCATTGCATCTGTGACTTCCATGCAAGGTCAGGGAAGGGAAGTTTCTGGGCCCACATTGCATTTTATATATGCTCAGACACTCAGTTGTGTCTCTTTGCCACCCTGTGGACTATAGCCTACCAGCCTCATAGTAAATAATAAATCATTACTTGTTGGATAAATTTGGTGTGACTATGTATTCATTGTAAAATATGCATTCATTGTAAAATACCACCTTTAGAAGGCAGGAGGGATGGGGTTTTTAGCTCTCATATAGCTCTAACTGTGGGAGAGCTGACATGGGGGAAATGGCCAGATTTGCAGAGAGGTAGTCTCACATACCGCAAGCCTCAGCACCTGGTTGCTAGGCAACTGTCTCCACTGCAGGCTTACCCTCCTGAAACTCGAGTGGTGTGAAGGGGGTTAATGAGCAGTGGGTCCAGGAAAGCACCCCAAAGACCTTGCCAGATTTGGGCTTTGGCTTCATGTCAAATTCTTACCCCATCCCTAATGACCAAAATCCTTACACTCCAGGTTTAACTTCCTAGAGACTCTCTAGTCTCCTGGAACCTGAAATCTTGGCATCAACCGCCTCTCATAACTCCATCCATAACAGGGTTGGGATGCTGAATTGCTTTCAGTAGTCTCTGAGGGGCCTGGAGCCCAGACCCTAAGCACCATGACACGTGGCTAGGCCAAACTCCAGCTGCGGACGTCGGGGAACCAGCTAGGTGCCTGTATTTCTATTCTGCCTGTTGCCTGGAGTGGGACCCAGTGAGTATCTCCCTTGTTGGGGGATTAAATGACTACCTCTCTGACAAATAGTAAGTACTACATTTGCTGGTCCATTTCTTTTGTTCTAATTTTTTGGCAAGTTCCTTAAGTCACAGTGCCTTAGTTTTCTCACCTGTAACTATGGGACCCAGTGAGTATCTCCCTTGTTGGGGGATTAAATGACTACCTCTCTGACAAATAGTAAGTACTACATTTGCTGGTCCATTTCTTTTGTTCCAATTTTTTGGCAAGTTCCTTAAGTCACAGTGCCTTAGTTTTCTCACCTGTAACTGGGGATAATAATAGTACCCACCTCTCGGGGTTGATGTCGGAGCTGGGTGAGTTACCATACTGGAGAGGTTTAGAGGGAGGCCTCCAAAAGGATGTGCCCACAGAGTAGTCCCCGGAACCTGGTCTGATAAGGCAAAAAAGAGCAAGGAAGAGCTTTTCCTAGATTATCTGGGTGGGTCTTAAATGTAGCCACATGTATCCTTACAAGACAGACATACAGAGAAAGAGGCAAGTGGCTGCTGAGGCAGAGATTGGAGTGATGTGGCCACAAGGAACACCTGGAGCCCCCAGAGGCTGGAACAGTAAAGGACAGTCCTGAGTGTCTCCAGAGGGAGCGTGGCCCCACCCACACCTCAGGTCCAGACTTCCTACCTCCAGGACTGAGAGACAAGACATTTCTGTTGTTTTAAACCACTCAGTTGATGGCAGTTTGTTACAGGAAAAGCAGGAAACGAATACACATACATAACACCCTGGCATGCACTGAGCACTTGTTTTGTTAGTCAGTTTGTTCTTAAGGTTAGGACACCAGTTTGAATGAGGTTTTAGCCACAATACTTCAGAAGGTATGTTCCCAGCCAAGCAATTAGGCTTCCTCTCAAGGGTGAACTGAAGGTGTGTATTCGAGGGAGAAAATGGGATGGGGTGTACAAACCAGGAGATGAGGGCTCTGAAAAGTTTGACTTTAGGTTTGGAATTTAAACTGATTATTGGGGTTTCCCTAGTGGCTCAGATGGTAAAGAATCTGCCTGCAATGCAGGAGACCCAGGTTCGATCCCTGGGTTGAAAAGATCCCCCAGAGAAGGGCATGGCTACCCACTCTAGTGTTCTTGCCTGGAGAATTCCATGAACAGAGGAGCCTGGGGTGCGGTACAGTCCATGGGATCGCAGAGAGTCAGACATGACTGAGTGACTTTTACTCACCAATTATAAATATACAAATAACAGGGATATAAAAACATTGTCTGGTAAAGGCGTGGATCTTTTATCATCCAAATGGGTTATGACTGGCCAGGGCCTCAGTGGTTTACCCTGCGGTCTGTAATGCTCTTTCTCTGAGTGGGATCTACATTTCAATCCTGCAGCGACGACATGCGTTCCTACTGGGATGTTTGGACAAGTTATTCCCTCCCCCCATGGCTTTGAATTCCCCAAGTCTCTGCTGACTTTTAACCTGGTTATGTCTTTTTAACTCAAGGAACATATATCTAAACAGTGAGAGGCATTTTCATGGACAAAGCTCCTGAGGAGAATGATTTAAGGACAGGGCTGTCAAACTGTGTTCCTCAAGCCTCCACCAGGAATGCTGCCCAGATGCCTTCTGTGCATCTCAGAGGAGATGGACGGGCAGCGGTCAGACAGTGGGGAACATGACTGTGAGATGCTGAGAAATACAAGTGTCAGTGGACTGCTCTGATGGCCAGGAAAAGTTGGGCTGCCAGATCTCTGTGAAACCACCCTCCTTTTATCTTCCTTCACCTTTAATTTAGGAAACACTGGTTAACAGAGAGGCCGAGAAGTTGTGAAATTTTCTATCTGGCTACTTCTGTTCCTGAGTCCTTATGATTCTCAGAGTTGCCCCAACCCTAGACCACGATACACAACGTCTCTCTTATGGTAAGTTTCTTAGGTCTGATCTGTTAGAAATCCTGGTGATTCTATCTGCTCACTCTGTGCTGTTTCACATGGTAGTCTGGAGACGCGTGTGACTCTTTAAATGTAAACTAATTGAACTGAAATCAAATTTAAAGTTCAGCTCTTATTCCCACTCGCCACATGTCAAGTGCCCACTAGTCCTATTGGACAGGACAGATAAAACACTTCTATCATCACAGAAAGTTCTTTTCGACAGAGACGTTCTAGTTATCCAAGATCAGAGTTAAAAATGTCAGGTTATGGAAGGGTGAGCCAGGGGGAATCTTTTATTCTCATTGCTTCAACTGATGAACATGGCAGACACCTGCAGTGACCTTATCTAAAATACAGACAGACAGACAGACAAAGAGCACACCATGCCTTGTGAAAATTCTAGTAATCATCATGTCACTTTTAGTGTCTCTTTTGGAGGATGTTATTTATTGTAAGACATCATTTTTATTAAATACAGTGTGGTACAAGAGACTTTCCATGTCAGGTTGAGAGAAGCTGGTCACATGATTTACAAACAAAACTTTTTTTGTTATTGTTTTTTTAAGCACTGATATTCTGGTGTCACTTTGAAATCAGCCAAGATGCAGTGGGTCTTAATAAAGCAATGGACCTCCAAAAAGATTGCAAAACAAGAACCAGTAAGTATCAGTACAGAGACGTCACATTAAAAGGAAAATAAAGCAAATGAAAAGAGAGTTTCAAATACCAGGTCACAATTTAAGGGGCAGTATATCTTTAGATGTTGAAATGTGTGTGTGTCTGTGTGTGTGTGTGGATATGGCCCGGATATATACAAACATCTCTCATGTACAGAAGCAGATCCAGAGACTATCCACATCTCTAGGCAGATTTGTGAGGGACAGATAATGATAAGTGAATGCAAGGAACGCTATTTCACCATAATTTAGTCATTTGTCTAGGGATTATATATTTAAAATCCACATTTAATTCAAAGACCTCATATTGAAACACTTCCAGCAGTTTTATACATTTTTAAAGCAACAGTAAGACATACAACCTGCAAGATGTAGGCCTTTACATTTCATTTTCTCCATTTTTTTCTCCCAATTCAAACCTGTGGCAATTAGCAGCTTTTATTTTGCTTGCGCCAGTATGTTGAACATTCAGCCTTCACTCAGGATCATTTTCATTAATGTACAGACCAAAGAAATAAACACAGACCTGGCCTAAAATGCATAGACTAAAAAAAAATGGTATCTCATGTTTTCCCATTGCGTCTCCTGAGACGAATGTTAAGATGGCAAAGAGTTGCTTGGTTGCTCTTGTGAAATTCACAGTGTTTAGCCTGCAACACATATACATATATATATATATTTTTTTTTTTTGCTTCTCTTTGTGTCTGTGATGAATGGAGCAAAGAAATATATACATAAATAAATAAATACATAAATAAATAAAAGTAAAAGAAAAAAAGGGAAAAAATACAAAAACAAAGGATATTCGAGAACCTTTGACTTATAGCAGCAGTGATCCATTCCAGCCCTGACAACAAGAACATACCCCTTCATATTTCTCTCCAAGTCCCTCCCACTGTGGATTCGTTAGAATATCACTTGCTGTCTCAACCTCAGAGTCTCTGCATCCTACCATCACAGATTGGGAAGAAACTGCTTTAACTACTCTCTTAGCCATCTGAGGAGTTGGGTCTCTGGCATTCCCCCTCATGAAATTTTCTGTAACAGTGATATAGGGCCATACTGAAGCTCATCATGGGAAACAAAAAGTCCTCAAATGGGGAAAAAAGAAAAAAAGGAAAGAAAGAGCAAGAAAATTGAGGGTATGTGTGTCTGTAGTCATTTATTTAATTAGATACATGATTTCATGTTATTGGTATTATAGAAGGTCCAATGTAAAAAGGGAAAAGTTTAAAAATAAAAAGTCTATTCCTGACCAGGGGATCCTATTGTCATGGTTCTTTGCGAAGGCCAGCGTTGTACACTGTTGTCTCTCGTGTTCCACTAGGATGTGGGAATTCACCTTGCAGGGGGTCTTGGATCTCAGCACTGGCCTTCAGGACACTGGGCTCCCTACACTCCAGTGCGCTTCTGGAGTGCTCAGCCTCTGAAGACAAGTGTAAAGGGTTTTCAGTGGGACAGGTGAGCATAATACAAATAAATGTGCAAAAGGATTTAAAAAAAAAACAAATTTTCCTTTTCTGGAACTTTACATAAGGAGATCTATTTCTAGCTGCATTTTCCTTTGCAAAGAGCCAGAAAAAAGGACTCGATGTAGTGGGATGGCTTCGATTCAGTTGTTATGGGAAGCACATTATCTTAAATATGTCTCCCACCCATGCACAGAGTTGAAAAGTGTAATGGGGTCCTACCCACATGGAGAAGGGAAGCACTACCAGCAACATGACATTAAAAAGGTTTTGGTTATTCAGCAGATTTTAAGCAAATTATTCATACTGCACCCTACTTACAATTATGTCTATTACTGTGTGCCTATAAATTTATACATAAGCTCACAAACACACTATGCATGTGTGTTTGTCTATGTATAAATCAAGTATTTATAACACACATATAAATACGTGGAAATATCACAGGGAGCGCTGATGCGAACACATATTGTGAATTCTGATATCAACTTTTATAGCCTAGTTCAAAATGTTTCCTAAATAAGCCTGATTATGACATTGGTTCAGTGTGCAAAGGTTTAGCTGAAGCTATGAAGATGATTATATATCATGAGATCTCAGCTGCTTGCATCTCACATAATTCATTTCGCTCTTCTAATTTCATATCCTACTTCATGAATTTGTTAGCTAGCTTTCTCTTTCATACAGCTTGTTTATATATGAGAGTCTCTCGTGGACCAAATCATGAACTTCAGAGTCAAGAGTACTTAGATTAAGTCCCAGGGGTGCCTGGAGAGTTCTAGCACGTCATTTAACTTCCCCAAGTCTCAATTTCCTCACCTCTAAAAAATGGGAATAATTTGTCACCGTATGTGAAAAAAATGCTTGGGAAACTATGAAACAATGTATAGATGGAAACAACTGTCAGGCAAAGTGTCAGGCCAAGTTCAGGCTAGAGAATCCGGTTTGTCACCACTCCTGTTGTAGTTTTTAACGAATCTGATGGCAGGCCCTATTCTGTGACCTTTGTGCTGCTGAATTAGGTTGGCCCTTTTCTTAAAATCATAAGCATGAGAAGAGAGGATTCTGGAGGAACAAGGGTGGAGACTCGAAGATAGTTTGTGTTTCGTCCGGCTACTTTAAAAGCAATCTGGGATCCTTTCAATGTGAGACGTCTCTGCAGTCAGTACATACTCTTGAGACAAGAGAGGAAAAAAAATAATAATAAGCAGCAATATAAATAACTATAAAACTTTGCACTTGCATAGAACCTTTCATTTCAAGACCTTGAGGGAGTCAGAAGGTAAGGAGAATTTTTTTTTTTTTCTTTTTTCCTTCAGAGGAAAACACAGCACTGAAAGGGGAGGGGAGTGCTTCCCTCCTCTCATCCGCTCTAAACAAATCCTTACTCCAAAACTGCACAGCCCTCCTTTAATCTGAACCCTTCGAGTTATTACCTCCTTCACTTTCTGTTAAAATCAAACAAGTAACTTGTACCCAGAGCAGTTGGCCAGTTGCACAAAATGACGAACCTGTGGAGGTTTTCAGGTCATTGCTGATGAAATCTAGAGAAGTTTTATACACACCTGCCTCTTCTTACTGCTTCACAGGGTGCCACAGTGTTTTAACAGTACTATGGGTCCTTAATAGGATATATACATGCAGGTATATATCATGGAGATATGGCTTTCATTATATTATTATGTGTGTGTTCCAGAGGGTTTTTTGTCATCAACCAAGAGAATAATAACTCAGCTCCCATGTCTCACAGGCCAGTGCAGAACTTGAAAGGACTATGGGGTTTGTCTTGTCCAACCCCCTTCATTTGACAGCAGATACTACTGGCTTTCCTTTCGTTCTCTGTTAACGGATACTCTTGATTTTTTGAGAACTGGCTTTCAATGCCTATAATGGAAAATAAGGTGCTCCAGTAATTAAGGGCACAAGCAAAACCTACACAGAGCACTTGCACCTTCAGAAACAAACATGAAATAAAATGACCTAAGTTGAATTCAAATCACTCCCTTTCAATCTGGCTCATATTATAAAGATGTCAAGTTAGCAAAATTCCCCTCACAGAGGGTAGCAAGTTTTCTTGAGGAACAGAAAAAATTTTCTTCCTTGGTATAACTGATCACCCAGGTAACTGTAAATTTCTATTTAAATTTACAACCTCTTTTTGCAAAACCCGTGACTATGCCCAGAAGTACACCTCCAAAGCTCAGTCTGGGCATAGCCTCCCATTGGTATGCTGTGCCTAATTTTTTATTTTTACTTTTTAAAAATGCAGTGAAAAGAACAAAACGGCCTATTGACAATGGAGGACATTTAGGATGAAACCACTCTCCCAACCAGAGCCCAGAGCAAGGTCTCGGCCTGTGTACACTGAACATCAATGCCACCCCAGGGTGGGCGAGTTTTCCACTCCCTTGGGGGCTGATTTTGCCCTTCCCCCAGCCCCACAGTGGGTGTGATGTCATTGAGGATATCCAAGTTTCAGGGTCTGTATTTATTAACAACCCATCACCACCATATGACCCAGAGACATTTATACTCAGCTAATGAATTCAATTAACTTCCCATAATTATTTAAGTTATACCTTTTACGGATCTGCTCTACCTATCAGGGGCACGATGTCTGGAGCGGTAGTTTATGCACACAAGGTATTAATTGACGAAGACCATGCACAGTTTTGATTGCACAGTTGGATGGACGGGTGGGGTGGAGGGCAGGGGTCGAAGGAAGTGCTGTCTGTAAAGTTCAATGTAAGAGAAACTTGCCTCCAAGTTTAGAGCTTGTCCTCTCTTTTCCAAGTCAGTGGCTTTCCCATCTGACCCTGAAATGATCTCTGGACGAGAATCCACCTGAACTTGACAAAGGCTCTGTGGATAACACTTGGCAAAACAAACCAGTGCCGCCACTACGGCCTACAAGGATGAGACTGTCGGAACGTGTGTGTGCCATCTTGCCTCGCAGAAGCCAATTTTCTCTGTACTACACTCTAGCATTTCCGGTGATGGGAAAAGAATAGTCCATGGCACAGAGTTCAACAGTCTTTATACTCCTCAGAAAGATCCTTGGGGGAAGGTGCCGATACATTCCTCCCAGCTACCAGTGGCTGGGTTTTCGTAAGTGGAAACTGACGTCAGTAGATTCCAATGGTGTCTTTGTTCTTCACCTACTGTGGTTTATAATAAATCTTCTTTCTCTCTGATCTTAATCTCCCATAGATAAAGGCTTCCCAAATTGAACACAACTTTTCCGTTTTCATACACAGGCTTAAGCCATCCCAAAACAAGAAGAACAGTAATAATAATAAATAAATAGAAGTGAATCCATAGAAACTCTCGGTGTCTGTACAGCAGAAGTGACAAAGTTTAAGTCAGATATTTGTTTTCCCTTTTTTTCATCCACATCAAAGGCAGGAATACAACAAGGCATTGTTAGTTGTGGTGGGCAAACTGGAGTGTCTGCTGATATAACAAATTAGGTTTGTTAAGGCCTTTGTCTATGCAGAGTTAATAATAATGCAGAAGCCAGATTGATTAAAAAAGAAAAGGTGAAGGTTGTGAAGCAAGGAAGACAAAAAATAAAGGGGGGAAAAAAACTAGGGAATAAACCAAGGGAGATGGAAAGAGAGAAAGAGAATGCTAAAAAGAAGCCCATACTGTGTCTAAGAAGTACACGTCGCTTCCCTCGGAAAGCTTCTCGGTGTCTTTGTTGTTAAGTGTCAGAGCGAAGAACAGCGGATTGATGGCATCGAGCGGCAGTTAAAAGGTGTTCATCCTCTCGGCCCAACTGAGGAAGTGCTTTGGGAAGGGCTGGTCTGGGGGAACGGGCCCTACCCTAGAATATCCAGGTAGACTGGAGATGCCTTGGCCAAGTTCTGAAGGAGGGTGTGGATGCCCTTGATGTTCTTCCGCATATGGGGCTCTCGCTGCCAGCACCCCAGCATCAGCTCGTAGACTTCCTGGGGGCACGTTCGAGGTCGTTGCAGGACGCGGCCTTGAGTGATGCACTCTATCACCTGGATGCAATGGAGCACAGAGACAGGGTCAGACCAGAGGAAGAATAATGTGGAGGCAATAGATGTCAGTGCAGAAAGAGGGTTGCTTTAAAGAAACCCACTCAGTGTTTCCTTTTTTTTGGAAAGAAGAGAGCAATTGTCCTAGGTTTGAATATCATGGTTAATTTGATGGGTTCATATCCATTTTTCAAGTCACACTGATTTCACCAAAGTGGTGGAGAAATAATTTATCTAGATGGAACCCTCCCAAACCACACCCTGGAATTCCAATGGGTTTCAGTTGTACTGGCCTGAGATAGAACCAGGGTCACTTTTGTGCCAGGGAGTCCCAGGGTACAGAAATGAGCAGTCATTTTGGATAATGGAATTGGATAAAAGACAGACTTGGACCTGAAGAAGTGAGGTGCCTGACCAAGAAGTAATGTTTAAATATAGACATAATTGCAAAAGGATTAGAAAAGAAAAACAAAATGCTTGAGTTTTTCACCAGAAGTAATGTACCAGTGAAATGTGCAAAAAAGGAGAGAAGCTTGAAAGCTTTTTGGAATAATACCAAAAAGCTAGCCGGACTCTCAGGGTGCCAAAATGCCACATCTGCTCTCAATTTCCTAGATGAACAGCATGAAATGACTCCTGGATCCCCGCGCCAGAGAATCACAGGCACATCAGCAAATGCTGTGCTTTTCTCTTTCCAGAACTCTTATGTTTGGAGAGTGACCGTGATACTTAGGTACGTGTTGGGAGGTGCTGCTCCCAACAAAGCCTCAGGGATGCCACAGGAGAGCGTTTCCCGGCTTCCAGCCCAGGGATATCTCTCGGTGTCAGCCCTCTAGGCATCTCGGTGCTGCTCGCCACACACGCACCTCGTTGTTCGACAGCTGGTACCAGGGCTGTTTCCCGTACGTGAAGATCTCCCACAACACGACCCCCAGGCTCCAGACGTCACTTTCGGTGGTGAACTTCCTGTACATGATGCTCTCCGGGGGCATCCAGCGGATGGGCAGCATCGTGTGGCCGCCGACCTGGCAGAAAAGGGGTAAGCAGGATGGCATCAGTCACCTGGAGACTAAGTTCCCATCATCAGGGGGAAAAGTGTGGAAGGGAGATGGGGTGCATTTCCCCCCTTTCCTTTATTTGTATTTATTAATTTTAACTGTTTATAAGGCATAAGGGAAATACAATTTGTTTATCCTCTCAAGCAACAGAGACAGAGGGCAAAGAGTGGTCAAAGGGATTTTTCTCACACTGTTTGCAATTCTCTTTCTCAAAACTATATAGGGGCAGAGATCGTGATTGGGTGGATATTTATCTTGTATAAAACACAAACGCACATACTTTCCATATGAGAATGACTTGATTATCTAATTAACAAGATAACTTTGGCCAGGATAATGAGGGTTCAGGATCCAAAATGACCCACCAAGGGACTCTGTTTCGTTAGCAAAGCCACAGCTTCCTTATGCTTTAAACTGTCAGGAGATCACACAGAGCTGGCTTGAACATCCTTGTCACAACCCAGCAATGGTCAGGGCAGAAATGACTATTCCCATTTTACAGATGAGGCAACTGAGGTTCAGGTTGCTACAGACACAAAGAAATCAGGCCTTTGAGCTCAAGACTTTACTATGGCACTTCAACTGAAGTGATTTACAAAAGTAAATAGGTAAGTGTGTAATAGGGAAGACTATTTTGTATGCCATTATAAGTTAATCACTAAAGGGATGCTGCGTATAAGCTTAAATTATACATAATGGCCCATCTCTGGGAATCCTGCTTCCCAGCTAATGAGCATTAAGCTAAAATACCTTTGTTTAATTCACAGGAAACATCCTGACCAGGCCCTTCCTCCACTGCTGGGAGGAAGAAATTAATGCACCCCTCCAGAGGCAGATGGGAACCAGGAAATGCTTGACTTTATCCCCTCCCCTCTAGTATAAAAAAGTCTGAATTCTAACACAGGCAAGATGGTTCTTTGGGGCATGAGCCTACCATCTTCTTGGTCTGCTGGCCTTCTGAATAAAGTGATTATTCCTTGCTCCAACGACTCATATCTCAATTATTGGCCTGCAGTGCAGCGAGGAGTGCAAGCTTAGACTCAAAGACAAGTATGGGTTTTGAAAAGCCCGTTTTAATAAAAAACGCCAAGGCTGAGGCATTACATGGCAACAGCGTTAGCACAGGCGAAAAAACTTTGACCGAAGAGATTTATTATTTCCTACTTCCTGGAGAAAAAGTAAGAATTCCATGTACAGGTTTGTACCACATCAAACTGAGATCAGATTTATGCACCAGAGGCCTGTGGGTGGCAGGTCCCACTTTTCATGCTGGTGAACCCTGGCACTACCTGCCCAGATGCCAAGCTGACATTGGGGCAGTGGGTGAGTTCATAGGACTTTAGGAATTAGACTTCCCTGACAACTGCCAGCCCCTGAGTTCTGAGACCAATGCCACTAGTTTCTGCCCAATTACAATTCTCAGTGTCCCTTGGACAGCAAGGAGATCAAACCAGTCCATCCTAAAGGAAACCAACCCTGAATGTTCATTGGAAGGACTGATGCTGAAGCTGAAGCTCCAATACTTTGGCTACCTGATGTGAAGAGTCGATTCATTTGAAAAGACCCTGATGCTGGGAAAGACTGAAGGTAGAAGGAGAAGGGGACAACAGAGGATGAGATGGTTGGGTGGCATCACTGGCTCAATGGACATGACTTTGAGCAAACTCCAGGAGATAGTAAAGGACAGGGAGTCCTGAAGTGCTGCAGTCCATGAGGTCGAAAAGAGTCTGACATGACCGAACAACAACAATAATAATTCTCATTTCTGACTCATTAAGGGAAGGAAAGGGACTAACAGTGCCTAAAAAATGTGCTCCACTCTGAAGTCCAAGGAGCAGAGAGTGTCAGAGATGTCTAATTTGTTTGGTAATTTCAAATGATGCTCACATTAGCCAAGAAAGCACACATGTGAAAGGGTGCCCCCCTTTCTCCGTACAAAGAAGAGGAGTCTGACAAGTGGAGACATAACTTGCTGGCACAGGGTTAAGGTGCCCCTGTAGTTTTACATTTCAGGATTTAAATGCATCAAAAGTTCAGGTGCTAAGTGTGGGCTTGTTGCCTTCCATCAGGTTCCAATTTCATCACTCTTTCCTCATTCTGCAGGAACAGGTAGTCACTGTTAAATGACCACTGGAGCTGCCTGGACATGCCTGTAAGTGATGACGGTACTCACCGCCAGGGTTGGTGCCTAAAACACAACCTCTACGACCCAGGTTGAGCAGAAAGGATGCTGATGGTCATAGTGGGACAGCCACATGGGCATGTTTCTGGCTGATGGATATCTGCCCGGCTCTGCAACCCTGAAACCCCATGTACCCAGGACTTAGGGAAAGGAAATCTACCAACATTTTCAGATACTTACAAACACTGGGGACACCAAGCTGGTATGGGCCCCCAGGTGCTGGCAGCCCACACCCAGCACCAATGTGGGTGGCAGGATGGGAAACTACGTGGTGCAGAGTGGTGTGTAGTGAGAGGTCTCTGCCTACCTTTATAGTGAAAAGATATAATTCTATCTTTTATGGGAATAGTGAAATTATTGAAGTTGAAATATTGAAATTAGAATTAGAAAAATGTTGAAATCAGATAATGCATACTCAGTTGCTTCAGTAGTGTCTGACTCTTTGTGATCCCATGGATTATAGCCCATCAGATTCCTCTGTCCATGGGATTCTCCAGGCAAGAATACATCCAATGAATAGTTGGTCTGTGGTAGTAAAGAGAAGACAGGGATATTATGGACCAGTGTGGTGTTCTTTTGGATACCTGACCCTCAAAGTATTAAGAGCTAGCTCTCCACACTTGCTCTTGGGTCAGACTCGTCCCAGGTGGCACAGTGGTAAACAATCTGCCTGCCAGTGCAGGAGACATGGGTTCAATCCCTGGGTGGAGAAGATCCCCTGGAGGAGGAAATGTCCAGTATTCTTGCCTGGAAAATTCCATGGACAGCAGAGCCTGGAGGGCTAGAGTCCATGGAGTTGCAAAGAGCTGGACACAATTGACCACACACACACACACACACACACACACACACACACACACACTCCACATGTGTTCCTAGGTCAGAGGTGTCAAATATACCATAATCTGTAACCTTCCTCATTTCTTGAAGATCCATAATGAACAGAATTCCCTTGAAGTGTACCAGGAGTTTGGCAGAAAGAATAGATTTAACTTTGTTTAACTTAGGGAACTGAATTAATTTAAATGTGTTTTTGTAGGGGAGAAAGAGAGAGAGAGAGCTACTTACATACCTTCCTAGAACTAGACAGTACAAATCCCACTTTGGGACACATTAAACTATGAAGACGTCAGGCTTTTGTATTCTTTGTGTGATCCCAGCTGTGGTTCAGTGGACAATACTCAACTCATGAATTTAGATGGGGGCCAAAAGGTACAGATTTCCAATTGTAAAATAAATAAGTTCCTGGGGTTACAATGTACAGCATGGTGACTATAGTAAATAATACTATATTGCATATTTGAAAGTAGATCCTGAAAGTTTTCATCACAACAACAACAAAAAAATTTACCTATGTTAAGTAGACAGATATTATTAACTAGATTTATTCTGTGGTAGTCATTTTGCAGTACATACAAATATCAATTAGTTATATTGTATACAAATAGAAGGGCTTCCCTGCTGGCTCAGTCAGTAAAGAACCTGCTGCAATGCAGGAGGCTGCCTGCAATGCAAGAGACCAGGGTTCAGTTCCTCGATCAGGAAGAGCCCCTGGAGAAGGAAATGGCAATCCACTCTAGTATTCTTACCTGGGAAATCCCATGGACAGAGGACCCTAGTGGGCTACAGTCCATGGGGTTGCAAGAGTCAGGCATAACTTAGCAACTAAACCACCAGACAAATAGAATGCTATATGTCAAGTATACTTCAATTTAAAAAGCAAAATGGGAAATTCCCTGGTGGCCCAGTGCTTAAGACCCTGCATTTTCACTGCAGGGGCACAGGTTTGATCCCTGGTCTGGGAACTAACTCACATGCCACAAATGAAACTCTGGGCTCCAATACATACTACTCCATGTACTATTTCCTAGCTGGATAAACTTAACCAGTTGCCAAACCTCTCTGTGTCCTAGTTTTTCCAACTATAAAATGTGGGTAATAAACAATACATACCTCCTAGGGTTATCACAAGCTAAATACTCAAGCAGAGGGCTTTTGATGAATTTTAATGCACTAAGTGATTTCTAGGTGTTGCTTCTTTTGCTGGGGCCTTTGTTATCTAATTCTCTCAATGGGAAGCAGCCATTCTAGACACATTAAGAAGAGTCCACACTCATGGTTTCCCATGTTCCTCCCTTGGCAATGACCAGTGCTGGGGGGCTCCTCTCATTACAACACCTACTCTTAAGGGTTCTCTGCCCTGTGTTGCTCATGGCCAAAGAAAAGGCTCCTGTGTCCTTTAAAGGAGAAAAAAAAATGAAATTTTGATTTACATGTTTTCCCATCTGATCATTTATTTTACACTTGCAGTCTCTTTGGGACAGATTTCTCACTCTAATGTTTCCAAGAACCCCCCTCTGAGATTTCACACATGCCATTATAAATAATGCTCTCCTTGTTCTAATGTCAAATGGGCCAGTGGTGGGAGCATCTAATAAAAGTTCAGACAGAGTTCACGAGTTTTCTAAACCCATTTAGAGCCTTTCTGAGTATTTTTTTTGCCACCTTTTCTCAGGATTTTGGATCAGGTCACAAAAGTGGCCCCCCAAAAAATAAAAAGAAAGAGCCACCCTGGTTACAAAATACTGTCACATTCCAGTTGCAGTCACTGGGTGGTTTTTGGATCTCATACCACCACATACTGTGCAGCGACAAACACAATGAGATATTTGTCCTGCGTTGTGCAACTTGGCAGTTGGCCCTCACACTCTTGCTTAAATATTTGCGAGATGGAAAGTGATCCCAAGTATGACATGGGGAGTCAGAACTGCTGCTTTGGTGCCAG